TCTTTTAAGCCACTATATTTGTAGTACTTTGTTACAGCATCCCTAGAAAACTAAAATGCCAGGTAATGTTTCAGAAATACAGCAACTTCTAGTTTCTAACATTTTCCAGGTCCCCTGCAAATTGACTGAAGCCATGTGCCCTTGGATTCCTATGATATACTTCTGAATCCCTATAATATGCTTTCACATGAATAAATACAAGTAGGCTTCTGCTTCTTGCAGCCAAAAGAAACTAAAGGAAACATAAATGGCAACATAAGAAATGAGCCTGTATTTCCAACATGAGCAGCGCCAACAATCATAACTTCCATGATTAGTACCCTATTAAAAACAGAAAGTATTAAGATGGAGGTGGCTCCAGAGATGATAGAAGAAAGAAATTTACTTGTGGCAAGAGATCAAGCAAAGCCCCCCAAATGTAGTCCAACTGTATATCTTCACTACTGAGGGGAAAAAAATCTATAAGAAATAAGACATTAGTACGTCTCTATTTTTGTTTCCCTATTTTCTTCTACAAAAAAATTGGTTACTGATGACAAATTGAGTCTGAGTTTATGTTTTGGTAATAGATGATTCTATAATAATCCACTGCCTTGTAGGGATAAGATGAATCTGTGATTCCACATGTATTGGACACTAAGATGGTTCATTCTATGTGTCAACTTGGATGAGCCACAGTGCCTGGATATTTAGTCAAATAATATTCTAAATACTTCTGTGAGGGTATTTGTGGATAAGATTTAACATTTAAATCAGTGGACTTCTGGGTGTTATGCTAAATGTTGGCAAATTGAACTCCAATAAAAAATGTTTTAATAAAATTAAATAAGTCAATAAATCAGTGGACTTTGAGCAAAGCAGATTGCCTTGCATACTGAGTGGGCTTCATCCAATCAGTTGAAGGCCTAAATTGAGTAAAAGACTGATCTCCCCTGAGCAAAAGTGAATTCTGACAGCATACAGCCCCTTCAGATTTGAACTGCAATATCGGCTATTTCCTGGGTCTCTAGCCTGCTGGCCTACACTGCAAATTCTGTATTTGCTGACCTCCACAATCATATTAGCCAATTCTTTAAAATCTTTCTCTCTGGATAATTTGAAGAATAAAGGCACTTTCTATCTGAAAGGCACTTTCACCTTAAAATTCACTAATTCATCCTTTAATTAATATTAACTAAGCACCTACTATGTGCTGGACATCATTCTAGGTGTTTAGTGTTAACAAGAAAGAAAAAAAACAAAGTCTCTGCCCTCCAGAAACATTTGACTCAGCTCAACAGTGACTAAGTGGCCAAGCTGGGCTTACAAAACCAGCACTGTGACACCAAACCTTGGAGCCTTTCAACTATTCTTCATTGCTTCTCTTGGATGACTTGAAAAAAAGAAATCCATAGACGTATTGCCAGATTTCATTTCAAACCTCCCTTTAACTATATCCATGATTGGACTTTTGAAGGATTTGATAACAAATATTCCTTGTCCTTGACCTCATTTGTGGTGAAAATGCTAGCAGAGAGGGGAAAAGAAGAACAATACACATATCATACAAGACACCAGTCTACCGTTACTGGATCGATCAGCCCTAGAAACTGTGTGTGATGAGTACTCTCTACCACTAAACAACAATAATCCATAAAGAGAAAGAAGACTTTAAGGCAGGTGTTCTTAAGAGCTATTACAACCTCACAACCAACTTACAGTTTTCAATCCTAGTAATTCTCCTATGCCACACTTCATCATTCTCCCTTCACTGTCTTTTTGGCTCAACACAAACACAACCATGAAAACCAGAACCAGAGAATTCAACTAGCTATGCTTTTTTGTTGTGGTCATTTTCAGTGGTTTACCACAGAAATGAATGTTACTTTTCAATCAAAAATCAACCTCTAAGAGTTTAAAAAACTCTATTCAAGGGGAAAGCTGTTAAAGCAAGTGAAAAAAATAAAAATAAGCTATTTTACGCAGGGTTTCATCTTAGTGGTATTCCAAGGAATTTTATCCTACAGATCTTATGAATTAATATTAGCCAGAGCCTCTTAAACCTTCAGGGAAGTGATCAGAAACTTCTGAAATCCCATCTCTTCCATAAAGCCTTTCTTGCACACAAATCTGCTCCTATCCTGTGCACATATAATTGAAACATGCTACAGGGCAAAGTATGTACTCTGAGGTGTGCCCCCCAAAAGCAATGACTAACAACATATAAGGAATGCCTTTCCCACTTTCTCATTTTTGTTCTCTCAGATTTCAATTTTTAAAATTTTGTTCTTTCTTTTAAATTTTTGTTCTTTCAAAATCTAGCTTAAATTTTAGTTCCTCATGGACTCTTCCTCTGACAACTCAAGCTCAAACATAATCTTTATTCTCTTCAAACACTTACCTACAATTTCTTTTGTGTGTCTTACTTTGGCTATTAATTATGTTTGTGGAGACCCCAGAATGAAAATCCAAGCTGTCTGTGGCCATGAAGCATTTTAATGGGGCTTATGGGATTTGCCTGGCCTGGGATCTAGATGAATGAGTGACCAAGGAAGTTTAGGGGAAGAAATCCATGCTAAGAGAAGAGAGAATTTAGGTGCATACATTTGTTTCAAGGTCATTGGGTAATCATAGAGAAGAGATGACTGTATTTTGGTACCTGACTCTCAAATTATTCCCAGCATATAGTCTTTAAAGCTCCTGAGTCCTGAGGTGGGAAATGGGACTGCCATTAACATGATATTAAAATATTAGAGCTCCATTCTCCACCTGATAAGAAAAACTTTGAGTGAGAGGGTAGCGCATTGCAGCAGAGTAACAAAAATGGACAAAAGACATTTCCTCCAGACCAAGAACATGTCATTCAGGGTGCCCAGCTAGAAACAACAGAGGATAGACAGCCAGGCACCCTCAGGGGTGGGATACTGTCCAAATGGAGAACTCAGGCTAGCAGAAATCTTCCGTACTATGATCTAACATGCACTCAACAAGGTGTAGCACCAAGCTGTCATGATGTAAAGACGGAATGACAACAGAGAGCCTGTGTAAGAAATCCTTCAGCAACCCAAGAGGCTAAAAGGAATGCCAGAGGAACTAAAACTTCTTCAAAAGAGCAGCACTGGAAAAAGAAAGGTAAAGAAGCCATACAGAATATTTTTTTCCAATGCTGCATCTTCTTAGCCAGCTTGGATTGGCATTTTTATTCTTCTGTATTTTTACTTACATATATATGTTAAGAACATTCTTTAACTGCAAGTTCTCTGAGGGTATATACCCTACTGTAATGGGCTCTTAGCATCCTCCATTCCACACAGTACTGTCTATGGAAAAACACATGCTCACAACCTTATCATTGGTTAAATTGAATTAAGAAATTCTTCTTTATGATAATAGTAAGAATGGCTAAGTTCTCCCTGCTTATCTGGCTCAAATATGAGCTTTCACTGGTATCGCTTTTGCATGCAGAGGATGTGTAAGATTCGGGAGAAAATAAGCAACTGGCAGAAAATTAATAGAGCGGACAAAGCTGAGGGAAATTAGCCGGGCATCTTATGCAAAGCCTGTATTTTGGCTGGTGTTCAACTCCATTTACGTTTTTTTTCTCTCTCTTATTCATCCAGACTAAGATGTGTGCTCTCTCATTTCAAGAGTAAGAAACCAAGAGCGAATGGAGGGATTGTTTGAGTCACAGCAAATATCTTTTCTAAAGAAGATTACATATGTCACATACAAATTAGATTTGAAGGGAAAAGTGAAGGGCAGGGGATCAGGAATTATGTTACGAAATTGGGGAAAGAAAAGATGGATTAAATAACGTGGAAGAGAGTAAATATCGAACCTATAAATCCTGCTCAGTCCTACCTACATTTCACATTCTTGAGATTATAAATTGAAAGATACCAACACCTGGATGGGGAAGGCAGAGTGACAGGCCAGACCACAATATTTTTGTTAAAGATTTTTTGTTTATTTATTCATGAGAGACACTGAGAGAGAGAGAGAGAGAGGCAGAGACACAGGCAGAGGGAGAGGCAGGCTCCCTGCGGGGAGACGGATGCAGGACTCGATCCCAGGACCCCGGGATCACGCCCTGAGCCAAAGGCAGATGCTCAACCACTGACCCACCCAGGTGCCCCCAGACCACAATATTTTAAAACAAACTTGTGACACAGTATGGAATGTGCAATGCCTCCTGAAAATTCACTTAATCCTATTTAGTTTGGAAGCTTTGAGAAAAAGAAAATGCTAGCACAGCTTAATGCAGGGCTGGTAAATTACAGCTCACAGGCCCAATTTGGTCTGCCACCTGTTTCTGTATGGCCCACAAACCTGGGAACAGTTTTTACATTTTTTTAATGGCTGGGGAAAAAAACATCAAAAGAAGAAAAAGGTTTCATGACACATGATGTTCTGTGAAATTCAAATTACAGTGCCCATAAATAACATTCCTCAGGAACACACTTTCACTTACATATTGCCTATGCATGTATTTGTGCTCTGACCGCAGAGTTGAGTAATTGTGACAAGAGACCATAGTATTCACAAAGCCAAAAATATTCTCTAGCTGGCCCTTCATAGAGAGTTGGCCTACTCTTAATTTAGAGAATTCATTTGGATGGTAAGTTTGCTTGCCTTTAATCTTTAGCATAAGGAGGGTTTAATCCATCCATATTTTTGTTGAATAGGAGTGGAGTGGTTGCAGAGGAGTCTTATTCCACTGAATTGCTCCGTACCATGTGAGGCCACGTTACAGCATGCCTGCTGCTCTATGTGTATTTGCCCCTTGGACACTCAATCCCCCTAAAGCCTAAGGAGATTATTTTATGGTGATCTGTTTTAATCCTACTGAGTATACAAATTACTATTTCATATGTCATCATGTTTCTTCTTTTTTTTTTAATGCCATCAAAGAACACAGTTTACTTCACTACATCTCACATACAACCATGCTGTCAAGCAAGCCTGCTCCACCACTCTGTTTTACGACGTAATTGTGTCATTACTTTGGAAATAAAACTACATCTTTATGGGACGCAACAGACCTTCAAAACAAGAGATTAGACATGGGTGTGGATTGTAAGGTGGATTCATAAAATAAGTTGACGATGCAGTAAATCACTGATATTCTTTTAATATTTGCCTGTGTTTCAATATCCACATTTTCCTTCCAAAGCCCAAATATTTTTACTAAATGTAATATAACAGCCTTATGCTTTTAAAATCTGACTGTATATAATCAAGAAACTCTTTCTACTACTCTTGCCCTTTCAATATGATGGAGTTTTCATGTAATATTCTTTCTCGGTTGTGTTTTGCTTCCTATAGACTCCTTTTATTACTTATCAACTTTGGTATTTTCCATGAGCTTTCTTTTTTTTCCTCTGTAAAGCTCAAATAACAGCAAACATTAATGATAATTGTTTCTCCTGGCACCATTTACCTCGTTCAAAACAAATACCCAGTTGTACTTCGTAAAACTCAGGCCCCCAAACAAAAACTCCAGAGTTTCAGAATTCTTTATTAGATGCAAAAAAAGTTTAAAACTCTCTTGAGGGGGGACTGTAATATTGAGCTAGGTGTCCTGTCTCCCCACACCTGAATCCCAAATATCCAAATTATTAAAATATAGAGATGAAAAGCTATATATGGCTTATACTGTGCAAAGCCATAGATGGCTCTTACTGGTTATTTATTTGGCTACAGTTGAAAGAGATTTCTTTTATTTCAATTTACCATGAGCACTGCTAAGAAAACTAACTTTAATTTTTTTTAATTTGAGTAGACACACCTGGTACATTAGTTTCAGGTGTACAACATAGTGATTCAACTTCTCTATACATTATAATATGCTCACCACAATTATAACTACCATCTGTCACCATGCAATGTTATTAGAATATCTTTCACTATATTCCCTATGTTGTCCCTTTTATTCCCATGGTTTATTCATTTCATAACCAGATGGCTGTATCTCCCACTCCCCTTCACCCATTTCGCTCATCCCCAACTACCTCCCCTCTAGCAACTATCAATTGTTCTCTGTATTTATAGGTTAATAAATTCTGCTTTTGTTTGTTTATTCACTTATTTTTTTAGATTCCATATATAAGTGAAATCATATGGTATTGGTCTTTCTCACTCTGACATATTTCACTTAGCATAATAACCTCTAGGTCCATCCATGTTGTCGCAAACGGCATAATCTCATCCTTTTTAAGGCTGCATAATATTCCTCTGTATCAGTGTCCACATATTCCTTGTCCATTCCTCTATCAATGGACACTGAGTTTGCTTCCATACCTTGAATGTTATAAATAATGCTGCAATAAACATAGGAGTGCATATATCTTTTCAAATATTTCAAGTGTTTTTGTTTTCTCAGTATAAATACGCGGTAGTAGAATTATTGAATCCTATGGTATTTCTATTTTTAACTTTTTTGAGGAACCTCCGTACTGTTTTCCACAGTAGCCATACCAGTTTACATTGCCACCAGCAATGCACAAGGGTTCCTTTTTTGTCCACATCCTCAGCAGCATGTGTTATTTCTTGTCTTTTTTATTTTAGCCATTCTGACAGGTATAAGGTGATATCTCATTGTGCTTTTGATTTGCATTTTCTTGATAATTAGTGACGTTAAGCATCTTTCCATGTGTCTGTTGGTCATCTGTATGTTTTGTTGGAAAAATATCTATAGGGGTCATCTTCCCATTTAAGAAAACTTAACTTTAGTAAAGTTTGACATAGTGCCTAGCATACAAAAGGCACTCAATATGTATTTTTTGAGTGAACAAAAGTAATTGTAAGAAATTATTATTTAGTGCTATTTTATCTTCCCAAAGCATATTTCCATTTTCATACTTAGCCTATCTCTGAAAGATACACAGGTAGGTGTTCTCAAAGATAATACCTGTAAGACCTTCATCAAAGCCCCAAAAAGTTGTTTCATTAGACGCAATCTGATCAATATTAGAAAGCTACAACTCCAAATTTCCAGCCAAGGAGTAGGCTTGAATTTGTTCATTATCTAAGCAGGAAAAGAAATTGGACTTTCTAGAAGAGATCTGGGGTCGACTAGGCCACCAACTGCCCCACAGTAACCATTTCTATTCTAGAGAAGCTAAAAATCATCTGAACATATTAATGCAACTGACAGAAAATTAGCAAGTAACTCAGGATATTAATCATGAACCATCATAAAAAAGAGAGGTAGCCATGACTTCCCAGCCATAATTTCACACACACCCCTGTTTCTTAGAAAAGAATATACCCAACCAGTTTTGGAAAGTGTAGCCTTCTGTATAAAGGCATCTTGCTTCACCAGTCATAGACTATTGGTCTAGGCATGGATATCTGACCCAAAATAGAATGTTCATATTCATTCAGATGTAAAGAATAGGGACTCTGAGTACAGTGGCCATTTGGCTTTGGTTTTGGGGGGCTGCCCAGAATCTAAATTCCCTTCTTAGGTTAGAGAAGTTTCCCACCTATGAGACATGGTAGGAGGAACAGCCTTCTTTCTACTACAGAGCCTAGAAGCACCTGACAGTTGCTTTCCCAGCCTCCTTTGCAGACAAGGAACTGGCACATGACCTAAGCTTGACCAATCAGAAATACCTGCCCTGGACTTTGAATTTAAACTAGTGATGCTCAGATGCAGGGACACTAGTGAATCTTATTCCAGAAAGAACAAGATGAGCAGCCATGAAGACAACACTAGCAAAATCCAAGACCATCCAGCATCAGTGAGTCAAGGATTAGTAAGGTCAGTGTTCAGCAGCTGTGAAGACCCACAGGACCAGTTCTGGGGCACATTCAGCAGCCGTGGAGTCTTCTGGGGGTTTTGCCCATTTTCCAGCCCTTTCAAACAATTCTGGGTACTACATAATATCCTCCAGTAAGTTCCTTTTCTGTTTAAATTAGCCACGATGGTTTCTGTTGCTTACAATAAAGAGGCACTGATAACACAGAGTCCAGACCAGTCTGCTGCCAGCTTGAGACCATAAGATAGGGCAAATGTGAGATGTGATGCTGCTGTTGGAGACAGCCACGATAAGCCGTGTGAGAGCAGAAGACAGTCTATAGATCACCAGGAAAAGCAGCCACCAAATACAAGGAGGCTCTGGAAAAATAAAAAGAAGAGAAAAAGAGACACAGTTTGCACCCTATTTCCAAGTCCCAGTCACATAAAAAAAAAAATGGGCCAGACTTCATTTCCTACCTGTGGATTAGCTTGAAATTCCTCGTTGTATCCTTGAAATGAATCCCTCATTTTCTTTAAAAAAAAAAAAAAGAGTTTTGTTACTTGCAACCAAATATGTCCTGATTAAGTCAGCCAGTGAAATAACAAATCATAATAATCTGGGGATATGCAACACATGACACCTGGGACCCACAGGGATTTAGGGGACAAACCGTGAGAGAACTTTCACTCCCTTTCTTCTCACAACAGAGAGTGATGACTCTACCTTTAGTTCAACGGTGCTACAAGCATAATGTGCATGTGTTGTTGTATTAAAACTTATGAATTAGCAAGTTATTTATACTACCCAGTGCAGATGAAAATCACTAGGTCATGTCTATATACTGCCCAGAGATAACAAAGAAAGATTTACCCAAATTGTTAACTGTAAGTTCGAGGGCTGAGAAATCTTCACACACAACCCACCCACCGCCCCCCCCGCCCCAAAATGAAAACAGCTCTAATATCACATAAGAACCATCTGTCAAGATAGGCCCTGGATTACAGAGAAGATGGTGGTGAGACCTGCTGACAGATGGAGAATTGGATCCACCCTGGGAGGAATGTAGACAGCTGGCTCCAATAGCCCAGGCTTCTGACCATCCCTTCACACTTCACAACTACATCATGACTGCTCCCAAATGTAGACAAAACAATCAGAACAAGCCACCCCGAGATGGCTGGTTGCAGCTTGGAATCCTGTGGGGGGTGGTACCACAGTCCACTCATTGTCTGAGAAACCAGGAAGTGCTCAGTTGCCTCCTGTGGCACGGAGGGGGTCAGAAACCAGACAGGTAATCTGCTCTCCCCCTCTGTCTTCTGATACTTTAAGGTCATTTTTCTTTTTTCTATTTTTCTTTTTTTCTTTTTCACTTTTCACGGTAACCAAGTTGGGAAAAAAAATGAGAACCCTTTATAGGAACTACTTTGCCTCTGTTCTTATTATTGGGGTGCTCCTGAATGATTTATACAAAACTGTTTCTTATCAAGGAAAGCTAAGGGATGATCATTCCAATTCTGATAATAAGAGCAAAAACACTGATGTCATGGGAAATTCATAAGAATGACAAGGACAAGACCTAAAGCTTGAGCAGACCACAAGTCTCTATAAGACAGTTTTCTCACCGATAAAAATTTATAGAATACCTCCAGTTTGAAACTTCTGGGAATCCCAGATTAACTGTTAAATTTTTTGTAAAATCTCATAATTTCTCTGTACAATTAACATAAAAGTAGCTCTATTTACCTCAATGGCTTGTTGCAAGAATCACACAAAAAATATAAGAGTGGTTTGAAAGCTGTGTGGTACTAGTCACAAAGCCTTAGCATCATAAGGGAAGTGCTAATGTTTGTAGACCTGTTTATCACCATTGGTATCTCAAGCAAGTTATCAGAATCTAGGACCTAATCTTTGTAGATGATAGTTAAATGAGTCTGTTTTGGCAATGCACTCAGATTAAAGTTCCATGATCAACATCCTAGAAGCATGAGTTTTTTATTAGGATGATTTTTTTAAGATTTTTTATTTATTTATTATTTTTTATTTATTTTTTATTTATTTATTTATCTATTTTTTGAGAAAGAGCATAAGTGGGCAGGAAGAGAGGGGTGAGGGGAGAAGCATACTCCCTACTGAGCAGGGAGCTCAACATGGGGCTCCATTCTAGGACCCTGAGATCATGACCTGAGCTGAAAGCAGCATTGAGCCACCCAGGCACCCACTAGGATGATGATTAGTAGTAGTAGTGGTTACCATGATTCTCATCACTATTTTCAGTAATGGGATGGGGTTTGGGGCTTTAGTATACTATATAACTTTCTTATAATAGGAACTCAAGTATTTGGGAACTATCACTCTCCTAATATTAGCAGCTGGGGTTACATTGACCAGCATTTTACACCCAAGAAGGCATCGTCTGTCTCACTACAGCCCAGAGAGCCAGATTCAACATAGCTGCCGCCAACGGACCGAGGATCTCCATTACGTTTAATTATGACTCCTCAAAGTTTGCTTTTACATCAGCCTCTCCTAAAAGCCCCAAGGCCATATATTTCTCTTTAATTAAAATGAAAGAAAATTTTGTTCGCAGAATTTCATGGCAGCCCCAAGGCATCACAAAACCCAATTCGGGAAAATCACTGTGTAATAGTTAAGTAGTATAAAGGCAGTCAAAAAGCCTCCTCAAATCATCCTAGAATGTCTCAAAGCATAGTCTAAATACATAATAACAGAAAAATTTTACGCTCCATTATAGCCACAAAAACAAAACATATCACAGCCTGCTACAGCAAAAGGTCACTTCATGGGTGTCCCAGGGCCCAGTCATTGAAATGAGCCCCAAGTTAGTTTCACCCGATGGCAACACTAACATTCAACTATCACCCTCTCCTTACATTAGCATGCTGTGATTATTCCCAGCAGTGGAGCTGGGCCTCCATGGTAACGCTCTTCAGGGAGCTGGGGAAGCTCTTTAATTATTAAAATGAATAATTCTTACCAACACATTTAATTGGAAAATATTACATGTAAAAGGGGCACTAATGGAACAGCTCTGAGAACTGAGCAGTATGGTAGAGGATGCTTTTTGATGTGAATTTTAGCAATACTCTCCTCATCCCATCACACCATGCATTATTTACTTGCTTTTTTTTTAAAAAAAAGTATCATTTCATTTCTAAGTGGAGATGGAATTATTGAACCCGCAAAAGCAAAGTTTTTGAATTACTCCCTTGTGTTTGAACCTTTACCCACAAAAATCAAATACTGCGAATCGTCATGTTATCTCTGACTGCTAGGAAATCAACCAAAAAATACCCTGAACATTATATCAGCCAGTTAATACAAGCAGTCAGCATAGCTTTACAGAGAGGTGGCTGCAGTATTTCCTTTCTCGAGAAACAAAAATTTATATACTGAAAGTATTTGTCTAATTTCACCAGTGGATATTCTTAAGTGTATTTGGCCATATTTGCACACTGTCTTACAAATGTGTATTTCTCTGTGTGTGTTACGTATTCCCAGAGAAATGAGACTTATTCCAGAGGCAGGCAGAAGAACTCAATCTTATTATTAACTTGTCACACTCAAATATAGATAATTTAAGCCCTCTGACATGTTTCTCTTAATGTTCTTAATAAAGAAAGTTTTAATCTTTGAAGAAGAAAGGAAAAAAATCAGGACCAGTGCTCTCATTCACTTTCCTCATTTTGAGATAACAAGGCTATTTCTATGAGGGAGGAAATGATAGAAACATATAGGATAATAATACAGAAAACCAAAGAATGGAAGGCACACATATTTATCCATTGGCAAGATGCTGTGTAATCATCAGAAATTTCACCCTTCAACTTAGAAGCATTTTCTTTGACAGTAGAATGCTACTGGTACTTGGCTTAAGGATTCCAAGAATTAATTCTTTTGAAAAAAAGCTACTTTGGTTTGGGGACTCTAGTTAGAGCTTTTCTCACATTCAGTTTAATTAATGTAAGATTTCATAAGATTTGAGTAAATGATAAACACCTCACATGCTGACTGAAAGAACAATGATGCTAGACATCATCCTAAAACTCCTCCCAGGGTCATTGGCACACTACCGTTGGGCCCTCTGAGAGCAAGACACCCCTCATGGGGGTTACCTGGGTGGCTCAGTGGTTGAGCATCTTGCCTTCGGCTCAGGTCGTGACCCTGGGGTCCTGGGATTGAGTCCCGCATTAGGCCTGCTTCTCCATCTGCCTATGTCTCTGCCTCTCTCTGCTTGTCTCTCATGAATAAATAAATAAAAAGTAAATTAAATTTAAAAAGATACCCCTCATGGGAGAAGTGCAAGAATGGCCACCTCCAGGTGTTCCCCTCACCTTGGCTGGTTCTCCTGCCCTCCCCCACCCACCACCACTGCCCATCAGCATGAACATTCGGGTCCTGAAATTCTTACTTTTCCACCCCACTTCTCAGTATCCCACACCAGTGGCCCCCATTGAGTTTCTGTCTAGTGATAAAAAAGCGTGACCCAACATACTTCTCAGATGGTGCAAATAGCAAACCACACCACTGTCTCCAAATTCTCTAGCCAGCTTTCCAGATTCTCTAGCTTTCTAAAATCACCCTTCTTGTTCCACTGTATCTGTCAGACCGCCCAGTCCCCTAATGCTGAAGGAAAATCAAAGAACTGCTTGACTGGAAAGGGGTAATTACTATCAGTGACATTTCCATTAGGAAGTTTCCTACAGAGCTGCTCTCATCTTAATACCAAATACTCATATTAATGCTCCCCACAACTCAGCTCCTTACACTAATTTTTTAAATTAAAATTCTAATGATTTATAATGAAAGACTGCTCACTGCCAGGCTGTAAAACAATAACTCAAGAGCACATAAGTGACATGTATGTCTATCCACCTAGACTTGCATGTGCCTGATATTAACTGCTCGGTTAACATCATATGATAGGCTCCAGCAATTTTTAGTAGTTTAATAGCACATGCAGCATAGAAGACATATAGACAAATAGAACAATGGTTTTCAAACTTGCTTTAGAGGCAACCCTACCTTCAAATGAAATCTTACACGAAATAAGTATAAAGACATTATTTATTAACAACAATTCATTAGCATAAATGTAATTTATAAGCTCTATGCAACAATTTTAAGTCAGTAAATTTATTTTGAAAAAGCAGAGATTGTGTTTTTTTAAGATTTTATTTATTTATTTGAGAGAGAGAGAGAGCGCAAGCAAGGGGGAACGGCAGAAGGAGAGGGATAAGCAGGCTCCCCGCTGAGTAGGGAGCCTGACATGGGGCTCGATCCCAGGACCCCGAAATCATGACCAGAGCTGAAGGCAGACACTTAACCAACTGAGCCACCAGGTGCCCAGAAACCATGGTTTAAATGAAAACTGTATATTAACCTCAACATTAAATTTATTTGCATAATTTGTTTTGTTTCTTCTCCCATTTAAGCCATTTCTTACAGCTCATCCTATTGTCTCAAGATATTCTTCAATTAGCATGCAACAACAGCAGAGATTTTATTCCAA